CTGGGCGCAAGGCGCGGGGGGCTGGGGGAGCCTGCTCGGCCGGCTCCGAGGGCCTGCTCGCCCCGCCCGTCCCCTGGGCCTCCCAGCGCCTAGAAACTCTGGTATTTCTTTTAACTAATTAATGTGCCAAGTAATCCTGACAAATGTGAGCTAGGTCTAGAGACATGCACAAGAAAGAAAAATTCAATAGTTCACAAGTGTTGCAAATGTCAGCAAGATCCAAGTTCTAGAGTCTCACATCTCATGTGTTGTTATTCTATTCAACAGTATAAACTAGGATACAAAGAGTCTCTTTTTAGAATGCCTTGATGTTAACTACATGGTTTGTCTGTATTGTGGGTCATTCATGTTCCTGGAAGCCAAATATGGACAGACAAGAGAAACTAACTCGGCTATAGTGTTATGAAACATCTATTGTCCCTCCCTGGGCTTCCAAGAAGGATTCTCAGACTCATACATGTGTAATACAAGGCTCTTTTTCCATCTAGTCTTCACCTCAGTAGATGAAGGCATTGGCCTTTCCTTGTGGTAAGGAATACAGAATATAGTGTCTGAAAATTTCTGAACATATTAAGATTTTCTCGTACTCCCAAGCAGTGGCTGTAGAAATAGCCCTGCAGTTCCAAACACAGACAATTATAAATACCCAAAGAAATAGTCTATCAAGCACCATGGCCACATATTTCCAGTCATCTTCTACCTGAAATGCTAACAAAAAGTCAAAGCTATTTTTGGAAGTCAAAACCATAGGAAATATGCTTTATTGCACAAACAAACTTCTTTTCAAAGATCTCCTTGTTACTTTTAAAGAGTACAATGGTATTATTTTCGTTAACCCTTGCCTTCAATATAGTATCCCTAATTTAGTTTTGTCTAAAGAGAGTGGATGGACCTCTACTGGTGCCTTATGGAGCTGACTATGGATAAACCAGGTTCGCTAGGGCACAGAGGACCCTTCCAAAGTGCAGGAAACATTCCCAGGAAGTAGTTGCTCAAAGGGTTCAACTAGTGCTTTTTGTACCACTGGAAAACCCGGCCCCAAAGCAAGACTGCAAAATGATGGAGGTAGAATAAGGGGATGAGGTGGAGGACTGGGGTACTATTGAGGACCTCTGAACAGGAACAGGCAGTCATCTAGACTCCAGAGTGATACTGGGTGGGAGAGTCTGCCATGTGTGCCCTCTCTCCAGTCTCTGACCTGGTTCTGTCTTCAGAGCCCTGTATGGTGGCCACTGAGTTCACAGTAATTCTCTCCCAGACTTGAAGCAAAGTTTTCTAGGGTTTTTGTCCCATGACACATCTTGACAGGCATTCTAGGCATACAAGTGTTCTATCCCTTGTGCTTACAGGGTAGGCTTAGGTCTCACAATATTTTTACTAAGAAATACAAGTGCCAGTAGCTGCGGTTTGAGGTCAAACCCAGCTACAAAGTGTGAGTTCTCAGACGACCTGAGCTGTTCACCCTTATAGTTTAGAAAACTGGCAGGATGTCCCCAAGGTCTCTCTTTGGACAATAAGGGAAATCTGTGTGCTATTGCTAAGACCCTAGGCACCAGGAGCAAAATGTATGAATGCCAAAAATCCCCCTGAGCCTCATTTAACCAACACCTACATCCATTCCAAGTAGAATAAGTGGCTCTGGAGCTGCCAACGAATGGCAGGAGAGGAGCGTGAAATTTCTACCACTGCCCTGAGCCTGCCAGCATCTCCACAGTCATTTTTCTCTCCCTTTGAGGCAGATCTGTGCTTCCCATCCTTCCCTTTGCCACTGTTTCTTGGGCACAGATCTTGGTTTCATTAACCAAGGCTGCCCTGAACTTGTATTTTAATTGGATCTCACTTGACCAATGTAGGGAATGAGGATTTAGCCCACAACTGCAACAGAGCTGGATTCTAGTAAGGCAGCCTGACCTTCTTACAAATAAGACTCACTCTGAGAATCTGACTGCATCTCTAAAGTTTCTCTATGCCTGCAGAGGATGCAGGCTAGTTGGTACAAGCAAACATTCATTTACCTCTTTTGTTTCATTGTGGCTCTTCATGTTTTCTGCTATGAATTGAATGCTATTAATCACATCTTCCACCTCCAGAAAATGCTCTGAATTTTTGGTTATCCACTGTGGAGGCTGATGACTTGACCTTCCCTTGGTGGTGGCTAATTCACTTGACTTCTGACAGTGACATCATTCCTTAAGAAGTTTGGGTCCTCTGTGATTTACAAACTTGACCTTGGCAGGCCTACTAGAAAGGCCATTGGGGTTTTTAGCAGAACTTGTCTCCATCATCCTGTCCACAGGCTGCCTCATTATTAGGACATGAGGGCACAGCTGGAGGAAAATTGTCTTTACTCACTTGGGCATAATGTGTGTTGCTGGGGTGTGGTAGTGTATGTTCAACACAAACACAGTCACCACAATGGACAGAGTAACAAAGATCATGGTGAACAGCAGATACTCACCCACCAGTGGGATCATGAGGGATGTGGAGGGGATGGTTTCTGTAATTACCAGCAAAAACACAGTCAGAGAAAGTAGAACTGAAATGCAAAGCATCACTTTTTCACCAGAGTGTGAAGGAAGATAAAAGACCAACACAGTTAGAAATGAAATAAAGAGGCAGGGGATGATCAGATTAATGGTGTAAAACATTGGCAATCTCCTAATATAAAAGGAATAGGTTATATCTGTGTATATCTCTTCACAACAGTTGTATTTGATGTCATGCTTGTAACCAGAAGCATCAACAATTTCCCCTTCACTGTTTTCCCAAAATTCATTCATATCCACTTTAGAGCCAATGATTGGGAGGTCAATTTCAGCTTTGTCATATGTCCAGGAACCAAATTTCAGGAAACAGTTTTGATGATCAAAAGGGAAAAAGGTGATATCCATATGACAGGAACTCTTAAAAATAGCTGGGGGAGTCCAGGTGATGGTGCAATTATATTTAAGAAGTGCTTTTGTCTTGCCTTCAACTTGGAAGTCACCAACAGCACTGCAAAGGAAATGAGATCCCATCAACAGTGGTCCCGTTGATAAGGGCCAGCCTGACCCACAGGCAACCTGGAAAGAAACTGGCTGTCAGACGCTCATACTTGTTATAGAGAACAATGTCAGGCTTCCAAATCTTATCTGCTGGGACATGAAGCGTCTTAATGCCATCATATTCCTTTGGATCCCAGTGCAATTTATAATCATTCCAGACCTAAAAGAAATAAAGAGCACCATTCAAAAATATCTTTTTTTTTTTTTTTTTGCTTTTTTAACTTTTATTTTTTATTTATTTATTTATTTATTTTTTATTTTAAGGATAAAAGGAGGGAAACATTAACAGACATACAACATTTTACAACATATCACAAGCACAATACAGACAATACAGAGTTACAAACAAAGTGGTAGGGAATTAACAATGGTGGTTGTATTACATATTGATATCTTCAAAGTGGCTTCTCATGAAAACAGATATAGACATGCAATACTGGTCAACCAAAGACTCATTGACAGTTTCTTTCAGCATAGAAACAGCAGATAGAAGAACAACCATGTTATCTATCCAAAAATATCTTAATAGAGCTGCTGGACCCACAGTTCAAGTCTGTTCTTGGCCCACACTGCCCCGGTTCCCAGCTGAAACTCACGGAGAGAGCCAGATATTTCACATCTACTTCCTGAGGGCAGAGCAGGCAAACCAGGACCCTGCCGCCATTACAGACTGAGTCTCTTCCTTCCCTGCACCGGCGGCAGGGAGGAGGTCCTCACTCAGGGGTCCCAGGGACTTCTCTGGCTGGGGGCAGGGCATGCAGACCCTTTCAGCCCCGTGCGCCCTACACCGAGCGAGCGAGTGCTACGGGAGCTGCTGGACCCATGGCTCGAGTCCAAGTTTTACCATTGCCCAGACCCCCTAGAGAGTCAAAGCCTCGGGAAGTCTGTGACTGCTACCCATCTGGGCTGCTTCTGGTTCCTGTATATGTCCTGAACTGACTGGAGACATAGAGTCAGGCAGTTCACAAACTGTAGACTCTGCAATTTGTGTCTGAATTATGCTTGTACCCTGAACTGCCTGGGGACACAGGTCCACTGGACTGGGATTGTCACAACAGTGCAACCTGAGTCAGGCTGTGCAAGTGCCCATAACTGCAAGGGAACGCTAGATTAGATGGTCAGCCATCAACTGACACAAATGCCAGTGTCTGAGAACAGGGATAACTAGATACAAATCAAAAACTGCCAGAAACCCCGAGACTAAGTAGCATTTCTCAGAGGTCACTGGAGGGCAAACCTGACCAACAGGAAAACTAGGGACACTAGTGGTCTTGGCTGAGCAGCTACTGAAGAGGGAAACTGAGCTTTCTGCATCCGGTAGTAAACATGACAAATTGAAGGACTAAAACACAATCCCAGAACTCCAACCCAATCAGAACAAGTCCAGGAGACATGGACATAGGAGAACTTGGTAAACACATGCCTGAAATAGCTGAAATGATTGCAAAGGAAGTAAAGAAACAACTCCATAAGGCCACAGAAGAGATGAGATCAGAAATAATCTCTCAGGCAAAAAGTGAAATGACAATAATAATGAAGGAAATGCTCAAAAAGTCTGAAGAAGAACTATATAAGAAAATAGAAGAACAAAGGCAAGAGTCAGAAGCATTCAATGAAAAATATAGAAAGGACTTAGAACACATGCAACAGATACAGAGAGACTTCCAGGGAAACAAAGCTGACACTGAAAGCTACCAAAACCGCTTGAATGAAGCTGAAGATAGAATCAGACCGGGACTTGCACGGCTTGACTTCAGACCTTGAAGACACCATGGCAGCTAGCAACCGTGAAAGAATGGATCTTGTAAAATCAGCAAGGATCCAGGAAAAGTCAATTTAACAGCTGCAAGATGAGGCAAAGAGGAATAATGTACGAATTATAGGAGTCAATGAAACAGCAGGAAGCAACACGATTGACATTAAAGGATTATTTGCAGAAATAATAGCAGAAAATTTCCCAAGCATGGAAACAAAACCTGATATACAGGTAAATGAGGCATTGAGAACTCCAAACAACCACAACCAAAATAAAACTACACCCAGACATATGATAGTCAAGTTCCCAGATCTCCAGCAAAAGAACAGAATATTAAAAGCTGCTAGAGAAAAGAAACATTATGTATAAAGGAAAGCCCATCAGAATCACAGCAGACTTCTCAGCACAAACCATCCAATCAAGAAGAGCTTGGAGTAAAGTATTACAGGTTTGAGATAGAACAGCTTCCTACCAAGACTGATGTACCCTGACAAACTATCTCTCAAGTTCAACGGAGAAATAAACTATTTTCATGACAAAGAACAATTGAAGAACTTCATGAGTGCCAAGCCAGCATTACAAAGAGTACTAAAAGATATTCTGGAGAGAGAAAAATCTGACCACAATTTCAAAAACAACAGTAGGAATGAAACGGCAAGAAGAGTAAGATAGAGAACAGGTAGAAAAAATAGGACACCAGTGCAAGTAAATAACGTGACAATGATAAATCAATACATATCGGTTGTAACTATAAATGTAAATGGCCTCAATTCTCCAGTCAAAAGAAA